GGGGGGTTCTTGGCGCAGAAGTCAGCAGGAAGCGCAGCGCGGTAGCGAGTGTCACTAGTGCGGAGGTGCGTGATGAGATCAGCGACAGTGGGAAAGGCGGCAAGGTCAGGGAAGAGGAAGGGGAGCATGAGGCGGCTCAGTGCAGCAGTGGCAGGGGAGGAGTAGCGCGCAACTACAGCGTTGTACAAGGTCTGGGCACTCTTGTACTGGCTAAAGTGCGCGCGCTCAGCGGTAGGCAAGTGGCGACGCACAGCAAGACGTGCAGCAGCATCGCGCGTGGCCCACTGTGAGCGAACAGTGGCGTCTGCATCAGCAGCAGGGGAAGGGACGGCGCCAGAGGTGAGGTCAAAGAGAGACAGACCGTCCGCCCTATCGCACTGTAAAAACAGCTGCAGGTCGTCGAGCCAGACCTCAAAGTCGATGGCTCGACCCTCAGCGTCAAAAGCGAGGACACTAGGGGTAGCCATGACGACGAGAGTGAAGCAGTGCAAGCAGTAGGGAAAGGGCACGCAGTGAGAGCGGCACAGTGCTCACCGGGCAGGGCAGGTCGGGCGGCTCGGTAGAAAGGCGGCTCGGCTACTCAGCGACTCGGCTCCCGGGCGGCTCGGCTCCCAGGCGGCTCGGCGGTAGGGCGGCTCGGGCGGGGCGGCTCGGCTGCCGGGCGGCTCGGGTGCAGGGCGGCTCGGCTGCACTGCTGCTCAGCGGTACGGCGGTTCGGCTGCTGCAGGTTGGCGGCTCAGCTGCTGCAGTTGGGCGGCTCGGCTGCTGCAGTCGGGCGGCGCGAGAGCAAGGGGCGGCGGGGCCGTGAGTGCCGGGGCGGCGGGGCCGCGAGACCAGGGGCGGCGGGGCCGCGTAGTAGGGGCGGCGGGGCCGGGAGCGCTTGGGGCGGCGGGGCCGCGAGATCAGGGGCGGCGGGGCCGTGAGCGCTGGGGCGGCGGAGCCGCGAGATCAGGGACGGCGGGGCCGTGAGATCAGGGGCGGCGGGGCCGGGAGCGCTGGGGCGGCGGGGCCGCGTAGTAGGGGCGGCGGGGCCGGGAGCGCTTGGGGCGGCGGGGCCGCGAGATCAGGGGCGGCGGGGCCGGGAGCGCTGGGGCGGCGGGGCCGCGAGATCAGGGACGGCGGGGCCGTGAGATCAGGGGCGGCGGGGCCGGGAGCGCTGGGGTGGCGGGGCCGCGTATCAGGGGCGGCGGGGCCGGGAGCGCCGGGGCAACGGGGCCGCGTATCAGGGGCAGCGGGGCCGGAAGCGCTGGGGCGGCGGGGCCGCGAGATCAGGGACGGCGGGGCCGTGAGATCAGGGGCGGCGGGGCCGGGAGCGCTGGGGCGGCGGGGCCGCGAGATCAGGGGCGGCGGGGCCGTGAGCGCTGAGGCGGCGGGGCCGTGAGATCAGGGACGGCGGGGCCGCTAAGGCGGCGCGCGGGCGGGCAGCGGGGCGCGGGCACTAAGGCGGCGCTCGGGCTGCTAGGGCGGGCGGCTCGCTAAGGCGGCGCTCGGGCCGTTTGGGCAGATCGAAAAAAAGGTAAGAGCAAGGGCCCGGAGCGCGCTCCGGGCAGAAAAAAAAAAGGTTCGATGTGGTGGGCCCTTAGCACAGTTCCCACGGGGGAACCTGCTCGATACCATGAGAAAGTTAGAACGAGAATGAAATGACTATGAATGAAGTGAGTACAAATAGGAAACTCTAGTTGGGTTGTACCCCCTATGGGATACCCCACTATAGCCTACACAAATAAGTAAGCTATAATATTCTGACAGTCACTCGGACGCTTCTTGGGTTGACGACCTGGCTACGCAGCGGTCGTCACAGGGTTACACCTTCAGCCTTGGCTCTGGTTCAGTTTCTTGGCGTTCTACACGCTCGTCTTCAGTTCTTAACTCCAGTTGTGAGGCAGAGATCTACGCCACAGCCATGGCTGCACAGGAGTTACGCTGGCTCACCTACCTGCTGACCGACCTTGGAGAGCGGCCTCGTTCTCCTCCAGTGCTGTATGTCGACAACAAGGCCGCCATTGCCTTGTGTCAGGAGCACAGACTGTGTCAGTAGATCTGCACTGTGGATGCACGATTGATCCTGGAGAGGGTTACATGCGCGTTCGCCTGGGGGGTTATGGGCGCACTGACCCGCTACTGAAACAAGCCCTTTTATCCCAATGGTCTAGTGGTTGGGATTCTGACAGACTGGAGCACAGAACAAAGCACATCGCTCTGCGTTACTTCCTGGCTCGAGAGTTGCAGTAGCGTGGTCAGCTTCGTCTTGCTCACGTGGCCACTCGGGCAGGGCTTCAGATTCGTTTTGGGCCACCCTTAGTAATCAGGGTTCTAGGTATAGTCAACCCTGATGTGTAGGGTAAAAAATTTGTTTCCCTGACAAAAGCAGGGTAAAAACAAAGCTAGTCTGTTGGGCCAGGGTATTTTTTCTTTAAAGATTATATGTAAAACGCTAAGCGCGTGGACGTCAGCATTAGTGGGTAAGTTTGTTCGATTACAGATAAGATTCGTAAGGTCGCAGGTACGAGTCTTGCTGTTCGGAGCATTTTGCAGGGGCCGGATAGTGTTTCGTCTGGCTTCGGAGCATTCCGTGACAGTATGACTGAGATCGTATAGTGTACAGTCAGGGAAATGAATTACTTACGCTGCTTTTTCAAAGGGTTAAAAAAAACTTACACTTTCTGGCCTATGGTAAAAAATCCATTACCTTGCCTGTGAAAGGGTTGTCAGAATCCCAACCACTAGACCATTGGGATAAAAGGGCTTGTTTCAGTAGCGGGTCAGTGCGCCCATAACCCCCCAGGCAAACGCACCTGTAACCCCCCCTAGGATCGATCGGGGATCTCACAGTGTAGCTCTACTGACACCCCCCCACACTGGGAGGCCCAGGACTGAGCACAATGGCAACGGCCAACATGTGCATACACCGAGATTCGAACCCAAGACCGCTCTGATACCATGTCAAAATATGAGGTAAGTTGAAAGGAAGGGCCTAGGCTTAGTAGCCTAGGCCCGAACTAAGGTGTGAGTAGGTTTTACCCTAGGCGAGGTATCGAGTGAGTTGAGGGAGAGAATTGGAGAAAAGTGATGGTTTCACTATAGGTTCAAGGGTACATATAGCATAGAAACCAAATAAGGTGCACCACCAACAACAGTTTAAATAACTACACTAACTACAACTACAAGCAGTTATAAAACATGACAAATATATTTCGACACGCCCCCATAATGCTTGTAGGTAGATATGTAGTTACGCCATTCAAAAGAATAGCAAGCAACAGCAGGTACCCCTTCCATCTCCTCACCCTCCTCCTTCCCCTCCCCCACACTGCTGCAAGAGCAGCAGAGAAGGGGGGGAAGTGAGGAGTGGTGGAGGGACGGCTGCATGTTGCCTCACACCCGCCACCCCGGTACCACTCCCCCTGCTCCCCCACATCCTCACACCCTCCCCCCCCAGCGGCAGCTGCAGCGGTGGGACTGAAAGAAGGAGGAGGGGAAGGGAGAGAGGTGACCCAACACTCCAACACCCTCCACCCCCATACCCTCCTCCCCACGGCTGCAGGGAGACAAAGGAGGAGGGGGTGGGCGGGAAGAAAGCCGCAGAGCGGAGAAAAGGTGTCGGTGCAGATGGGCCAGGGGCGGCTTCAGGGAGAGCAGGGGCGGAAAGGCCCGTCGCGTGCCAGTGCCACGGGGCGCACGACGGGTAGGAGAAGAAAGAGGGCCCGATCGTGTGCCTAGGGGCGCACGACGAGTAGGGCACCATCGTGTGCCACGGGGCGCACGATGGGCAGTTGAAGGGCACCGTCGCGTGCCACGGGGCGCGCGACGGGCAGAGTAGGAGTCACACACCCGTGGGCGGGACAAGGTAAAAATCGTCACGCGCCCTAGGCGCGCGACCGAAAAATCATAGCGGAAGCGTAGGGCGGGCCCACAGGCCAGGTCGTAATTAGCTCTGATAACATGTCAGAATCCCAACCACTAGACCATTGGGATAAAAGGGCTTGTTTCAGTAGCGGGTCAGTGCGCCCATAACCCCCCAGGCAAACGCACCTGTAACCCCCCCTAGGATCGATCGGGGATCTCACAGTGTAGCTCTACTGACAAGGGTAACTGAAAAAAAAGCGGCCGCCAGTCAGTGCAAAAAGGGTATTTTACCCTGATAACGAGAGCCTTGCACTCGGACCAACACTGCTGATATATTCACCAAGGCGCTTCCGCCTGGTGATCATCAGCGTTTCTGCACTTTGTTAGGCCTTGTGCCCACGCTTCCTCACTTGCTGTAGGCTTCGTTTGTACTGTGATCTATATGTAGACGTGGATGCTTGCTCTTGTAGGTAGAGATCACTGTGCTGTAGTTGTTACATATATATCTCTGCATGTGAACTGGCCTTGTGGCCTTTTGCTTGTGCTCAGACTGCGTGGTGACGTTGTGATCCACCCTGAGCTTGCTTTGCATTTCCTGCCTGGCCTTGTGACCCTCTGTTCTCCCCCACTTTGCCTATGGGGGTGTGTCAAACATATGTTTATATGTTTTAGTTTAGGTAGGCTTTGGGTACTCACTGTGGGGTACAACCCCTTAGGTTTCACTTTTGTACCAAAACTTCTCGATTGTTGAATCATCATTACCAACCTACCGTACTCTAACAATCCTATGGACGATCAACCTTTGATCGCAGCAGGTATGGCGAAGGGAAAATTGAAAGCAACGCGGAGTAGCCTCGAAATCGTGGATGTCGGCCGAACGTGAGAAGTCAGAAAATGCAGGGTTGTACGTGAAGGAGTCAACCCTGATAAGGAAAATGAAAATTCCTTTTGGATTGTTTTTCAAACTTGTTTGAACTTATGTGGTGGTCAGTAACAATTTTTACCCAGCCCAACCGCTATATATTCCCTTCATCCTTCACCCCGCCTCTTGCTAGTAGCGTAGGTTGCGCCTAGCAGGGAGAGGCGATTAGGGAGCCAAGGATTAGGTAATACGCTATTGCCCTTGGATTGCCTCCACCCCACGCGTCTCCCACATGCCCCGCATTGCCTCTTTCCCCATCCTCCCCTTCACGTCCGCGCCTCCTCGTTGCTGTCACCACTCTCGCACACTATGCCTCGCTGCCAATGGCTACCTGCCACGTCGCGCAGCCGAAGCCACTGCTGAGCTCGCGGAGCGGTTTGATGGCGGCGCGATGCGCTGCGGGGAAGCGCGGAGGCGGATGGGCCAGCTGAGGCGGACGGTGCGCGCAGCTGCGGCTGGAAGGGGCGCCGAAGTGGCGAGGGCGCGGGGATGGGCGGAGAGGCGGCAGCGCAGGTGCGGTTGGGCGATGACGTCAGCTGCACGCGGCTCCTGGCTAGTCAATGGGCGAGGGGCTCAGTGGACGGTGGGGAGGACGGGGGGAAGGACGGTTGGGGGGACGGGGGAGAGGATTGGCGGGGGAAGGATCCGGGCGAGCGCAGAGTGGGGCGAGAGGGACGGTGAGGAGGAAAACGAGGGGGATGAGGATATGGAGAGGGGAGGTGGAGAAAGTGAAAGTGGGAGTGAAATGGAGGGCACAGAGGCAGTGGCGGAAGAAGGTGGAGAGGGCAAGGTCGGCAGCAGTGGCGGCGGCGATTGGGCATGGAAGGGGCGGCGGCGGTACATGATGGTGCTGGCGTACGACGGCACGCACTTCTATGGTGAGACAAGCACACGGCATGCCACATGCCCCCGGCTGCATACCCCCCGCCGCATGCCCCCCGCCACGTGCCCTGCTGCATGCTCCGCGCCCGCATGCCTTCTGGCGCCCCTGTGAAGGAGCACAGCGAAGTGATGCAAAGCGATCCCACACATGATGCTGTGTGGGGCATGGTGCATGGTGCATGGTGCATGGTGCGTGGTGCATGGTGCATGGTGCATGGTGCGTGGTGCATGGTGCATGGTGCATGGTGCATGGTGCATGGTGCGTGGTGCATGGTGCATGGTGCATGGTGCATGGTGCGTGGTGCATGGTGCATGGTGCATGGTGCATGGTGCGTGGTGCGTGGTGCATGTTGCATGGTGCATGGTACATGGTGCATGGTACATGGTGCGTGCATGCTGCGTGAGCCTTCCCTTGACCTCAGTTCCTCCCAACTCTGCTCCTCTCCACTCTGCTCCCCCCCCCGCTGCTCCGCGCCTCTCACCCCTCTGCCCCACCCCGCCAAGGCAGGCTGGCAGCGCCAGGCGCAGCGGCCCACAGTGCAGGGGGCGGTGGAGGCGGCGCTGGCCACGTACACGCGGGAGGGCAGCGCCGAGCTGGGGGTCACCGGTGCCTCGCGCACCGATGCTGGCGTGCATGCCTGGGGGCAGGTATGCAAGGTGTGCATGCTTGGCGGTCGGCATTTCCAGCGTGAGAGCAGCAGTTGGATCAGTGTGTCAATAATACTTCACGGTGATTTACTCACTTCCTCCCATTTGTTGCCCTCCCTCCGTCCCATCAGGTAGCCCATTTCACCACCCCCTCCCCCATATGCGACCTGCCCCGCATGCACCGCGCTCTCAACGCGCTGCTGCCACCCGCCATCCGCGTGCGCTCGCTGCGCGCCGTGCCACTATCCTTCCACGCGCGCCTGCACGCGTGCAGCAAGCGCTATCACTACACCGTGCTCAACAGCCCCACCCCGCTCCTGCTGCCGCACCGCCGCGCCACGCTGCTCTCCTACTCACGCGGCCCGCTGGACCGCCCCCTCATGGCGCAGGCGGCTCGGCTGTTTGAGGGGCGGCGCGACTTTGCGGCGTTCGCCAACGCGTGCGAGGCGAAGGAGAAGGGCGCGGTGAGGGAGATCACACGGTTCGAGCTGGTGGGGGAGGCGGACTGCTGGCAGGGCACGGTGGACGAGGTGCAATGCACTTGGAGTGGGGGGTTGAAGTATGAGGGAGTATTGCTGGCTGAGAACCCCAGACGAATACCCTTAGTTGGAGGACGAGGAGAAGGGCGCTGTGGGGAAGATGCCTCGGTCTGAACTGGTTTCGGTAGGAACTGGGGGAGGAGGGAGGGGGAGTGAGGGACTGTAATGCTACGGTGGCGCTGTGAGCTATGCAGTCCCACCACGCACCTTGGCACCATGCATCGTGGCACCATGCATCGTGGCACCATGCATCGTGGCACCATGCATCGTGGCACCATGCATCGTGGCACCATGCATCGTGGCACGCCTCTATCTTGACACTCTTTGCATCATCCACCCAAGCCCCTCACGCTTGCTGCTGTGTGTCTCCCCGTGAGTGCAGGGAGAGCCGTCACCTGTGTTCCGCTTTGAGGTGGAGGGATCGGGGTTTCTCTATCGGCAGGTCCGCAACATGGTGAGATGCAGTGTGGTGAGATGCAGTGTGGTGAGATGCGGCATGGAGAGATGCAGCATGGTGAGATGCAGCATGGTGAGATGCAGCATGGTGAGATGCAGCATGGTGAGATGCAGCATGATGAGATGCAGCATGGTGAGATGCAGCATGGTGAGATGCAGCATGGTGAGATGCAGCATGGTGAGATGCAGCATGGTGAGATGCAGCATGGTGAGATGCAGCATGGTGAGATGCAGCGTGGTGAGATGCAGCATGGTGAGATGCAGCACGGTGAGATGCAGCATGGTGAGATGCAGCATGGTGAGATGCAGCATGGTGAGATGCAGCATGGTGAGGCACAGCTCCTATGATTAGCGCCATCGTCCCTGCCTCTCCTGTCACAGCGCTCCATATCTGTAACCACTCATGCCGTCTCCATGTTCTCACCGCCCCCTCTTGTCAGCCCAGCCCACATGCTGTGGGTATCTGCACACTTGGCTTTGCGCTAAACCCTCCTCTTCATCCTGTCCTCCCTTCTCGTCTCTCCGCGTCACTCCCTACGCCTCCTCCCTCCAGGTGGGCCTACTGCTGCAAATAGGAGCTGGCACGCTGCCCCCCTCTATAGTCACGGACCTCCTGCTCTCGGGGGACCGCTGCCAGCTGGCACGCGTGGCGCCCACCGCCAAGCCCCAGGGGCTCTCCCTCATGCGCGTGGACTACCCCCCCACTGCCCTCATTCCGCCGCCCGACTCCCCGCCACCCAGCCTCAGTTATTTCGAGCAATAGAGTGCTTTCTCTTCTTGGAACAACACATGTGTGCCAGCTTTCAAAGTGCTGCCAAACAGAACACACACGCAACTGTGACAGTTCATATTGGTTTGGTGGCTAACTAGAAATAGTTTGATTGAAGCGTGATACTTGTTGCGCTGAGTGCAGCCGTAGGATTTTTGTAGAGGCTAGACTAACGGTCCTGAAAGCAGAAGTAGGAATTCATGTATCGTTAACAGCAGGGCTGACGCTATCAGAGTAAATAGTCTGATTAGTCTGACGGATCAGACCATCGAGTTTGTGAAAAATGGAATTCCAGGGTAGTCAAATTTTCATCACTGAGAGCCTCAGAGTTATTGTTTTATGGCCCCTGATTCAGTGTAATAGGCCTCAGTGTAAGTCATTTCTGGAGTCTGTCACTACAGAGTATGCGTTCTGTGGACCCTGCATGCAAGTTTATCGGGAGGAAGGTTCCTCGAAATTTTCTTTCGATACTCCGAGGTTCACTAGTGAGGGTCAAACTGGTGAGTCAAACCCGTCTTGACTGGTCACAGCACCAGCGTCATTAAAAATTCGCGTTGACAAAGCGAATTCGCGCCGTACGGAGCAACGAATTTGCCCAATCACAGCGAAATGGCCCTGACACAGCAGATTTGAGCTGTCAGAGCACAAAGGTCTTGACCAATCACAGTAAAATGTATCTGACATTGCACATTCGCCCTTTCACAGAACAGATTCGCCATCAAAGTTCAGTTTCGATAATGCACAGCGCGTTACTACACGTACCCTGATCGTGACTTCTCGACCCTGAACACTCAGACTGTATAACTTCCCAACACTGAGCAATCAGGGTGCTGCTTTTCTGGAAAATATGCCTTCAGGGTTATTTTTTTTTTTTTTGGTGGACATCAGGGTACCTAGATTTGAAACGTCAGCCCTGGTTAACAGTGAGAACGAGAATGGATGATAGAGAGGAATTTTTAATAAGACCCATTGACTTGTTAGAAAATCATTCTACCGTCATCGACCGGTGTCTAATGATGCTGCCAGTGTCGTTTTGCTGCCAGCAGCGCAAAGATGTGTCAGAATATTATCTTATTGTTCTAGCCTGTAGTGGGGTGCTCTATAGCGAGTACAACCCTTCTAGAGTTTGCTATTTGTATTCTCATTCTTGCTAGTTCAATCCTCTTTCTTTCTTCTGATTCTGCTAGTTCGCAAGCGGCCCCCTCAGGTCGCCTCGACGGACGACGGGAGGGGCGAGCTGTGGGGTGGCGGGTATAGGGGTGATCGGTGTGCCTTCCTCCCTTTGCTCCTCCTCCTCCTTCGTCTCCCACTGCTGCAGCTGTCGCTGAGGGGGGTGGTTGTGTGGGAGACTGGGGTTTAGGGTTTAAGGGGGGTGCGTGGGAGTAGAGCTAGCGGTGTAGCAGTGGGTGTGTATCAGGGGGGTGGGACTGTGTGCGGGAGGATGAGCGGAGGTTGCCAGTTTGTCGTCAGCAGCACCTGTAGTCCGGGGCGCTGTCCCGGTAGCCCAGTGAGCTAGACTTCTACGCCAGCCGCCTGTGGGTCCGTTGCCCGTCCGCCGCTATTTGAGCCGCGGGGCCTGTTACTCCTGTAGTCTGGGCGCTGTCCGGTAGCCGCTGTGCCAGTCTGCCTCCTGTTGCCCGTGTGTCTGCAGCTTCAGCCGTCGCCTCCTATCTCCTCTCCCCTCACTCTCCCTCCTCCTCACTTGCCCGTTGTGACTACCACTAGCTTTGCTTATAATTGTGAACTCTAAACTATTTCTTCTTGAACTTGTGCTCAGAATGTGTGGTGACATTGTGATCCACCCTGAGCTTGTATTGCTTTGCCTGCTCTGCTGATTACACCCCACTTTGGCTATGGGGGTGTGTCAGAATATTATCTTATTGTTCTAGCCTGTAGTGGGGTGCTCTATAGCGAGTACAACCCTTCTAGGGTTTGCTATTTGTATCCTCATTCTTGCTAGTTCAATCCTCTTTCTTTCTTCTGATTCTGTCAAGATGCTTCTAGAACGCTCCTGGAAACACGATGGCAGCGTAAGAGCTGTCAAGTGCTCTCCACTACGAGGACATTCCTCGTAGAGGAGCGGCTCGGTGGTCTCAGGAGGGGGCACTCTAGCTGGGGTTGTAGTCGGGCTGGAGCTTCATTTTGTGCTCATGTAGGTTGAGATTGGCTCAACCATTGCTCTCGGCTGGCTGAACCATGTTTAGAGAAGTATGGCGGCTGACGGGAGTGAATGTTTGATCGAAATCAATCCCATGGCGTTGATCGAAGCCATGCACGACCCAGCAGGCTTTGAAACATTCAATGGTTCCATCAGCGGCGATCGTAACGCAGAAGACCCCCCCTTTTTTTTTACAGGACACTCCTCCCCTTTCAGCGCGGCATGATCAAGAAGGAGCCATGTCTTGCGAGCTTCGAGCACGGCGACTTCGGCATCTATTGTCGCACGCCATACGTTGCGGTAGGGACCGGTGAGTGTCTGCCGTAAGGTTTTGGGTTCAACCTCTTTTCACGGGTGAGAGACTGCAGTGTGAAGACCAAGGAGTTGCAGGCCCAAAAGGCTAGGGCTGTGCTACTCCTCGCTGGTGACCTTCATAACGTCGTCATCGGAGTGGTTTTCGTTGGACGGAGTGGGGCTGAGCAGGGAGTCGTGCCAGTAGTCGAGGTCCTCATCGCTCCAAGGGCTCGGTCTGGGATGGGGTTCTGTGAGATCTTGATCAGTAACCGCAGCTTCGGCTTCGTCAGCGGGAGTGGCAAAGCTGCGAGGTGGGCGGTCATAGCAGGCCACGCGACCAGACACACCGCCAAGCCTGCGTCCGTCAGCGTGTCCGTTGGTCTAGAACTGCAGAATAGTAAGATCTTCTTAGGAGATGACGTCACGTGCCGCGACCACCCGAGAGGTTTCGTACTCGAGGAAGTTCCAGGCGTGGTGCTCAAAACTGATGCCCAAGTGCACTCCCTAGCACGCACAGCATTGGAACTTTCCTGTGTTGGCGGTGGCAGGCCGGTACTGCACTGTGCAGGCGATTATTGTTGGGCGGTGATGCAGAGATGGTTGTGAAGACGGACGGCGTGACGCATGGCGTAAGGCCAATACTTCGGATCAACGTTACTCTGCTGCATGAGGGCTTGAACCCCGGTCATTAAGGTCTTGTTTGTGCGCTCAACAATGCCTTGCTAATGGTGAGCGTAGTGGAGAGAGAGGGTGTGGATGATCCCCTTGTCCTTTGTGTATGCCTCGAGCTCGGTACTCTTGAATTCGTCTGCGCAGTCAGTTTGCCAGATTTTGAGGATGCAACCAGATTGTGTCTCTGTGTGGCTAAGCCAGACCTTAAATGTTCTAGACACCTTGCTCCTGTGAAACACATTCACCACCTAGAAGAAGCAAGAGTGAGCGTCCACGAAGGTGAAAGAGTACTCCTTGCCGTTGATGCCTGTTTGTGTGAGGATGAAGAAGTCACTGTAAACATTCAGGAGCTTTTTGCAGCGGTTCGTTCTGGGCTCAATGAGTTTAGAGGGCTTGTGATTCAGATCGGCTGTGGGGCAAACGATGCAGGCTGTGTCGCGATTGTTGATGATGGTGATGGGAGAGCCGTCAGGGTGAGGTAGCGTGCCAGAAATGAAGACTCCAGTGCAAATACAGTTGTTGGGCATCTCCTGAGAGGGGTGGCCAAGGCGTTTGTGCCAGAGGTCAGGAGGTGCTCGCAGTGCGGGTGATCGTATTGGGTTGGGCAGGCTGTGGAATGGGCTGAGGAGAGATTGATAGTTGGAGAGCAAGGATGAGTTCATGGGCAGTGGGAGGCTGTGCAGGTGTGAGCTGTGATGTCCGTTGTGTCTGCTGTTCCTTTAGTGAGAATGGGTCAAGGAAGGTGGTTTGGTGGTGGTCCGTGGATGGTGGAAGGCCCGGCTGTGTTTGGGTCATGGGGTTTAACTGGAGTAGATACAGAAGGCAGTGGGTTGTGAGGGTAGCGACAGTAAGGCAGGGTGGTGTCTCGGTCGGGGCTGTTGTGGGTGGGGGAGTATGTTCGTGGAGGAGAAGCGGGTCCAAACGGGGGGATGCCGATTGGGATTGGGGTGTGATGAGGCTCGGCCATCTCTTCTGGTGCTTCTTTCTCTACCCGTGCTGAGTATCCTTCCTCAATTGTTGCGGTCCCCCATGTTCCAGCTGCTGTACTGCTTCCAGCTGCTGCTGTGTCACCTCCTCCCCATCCGTTGAATGGTACACTAGGCCCCCAACCCCGGCCAGTGTTTGTGGCCGTTGCTGCTTCTACGTCTGTTTGGCGGGACAAACGGGCGTGCTTAAAGCTGGACGAAATTATATAAACCAAAGAAAATAATAAAAAGGGAGGCCAAAAGCAAAAGACGAGCACAAAAAACAACCGCAGGCAAAACAACCACAGGAGGAAGAAGGCACAACTGATTATGCCAGGAACCCAACCCTCCTTCTCTGCCGCATGCTGCCGCCCATTTGTCGCCACACACTGCCCCTAACCGCTCTGCTCTTCACAGCACCTTCGCTGCTGGAGAGTATAGGGAAAACGGGTGAGCAAAGGGGGAAAGAGAGTGAGTTGGGAAAGACGGATGAGGGAAGGGAGAAAACAAGAGAGCAGGGGAAAAACGGTTGAGCAAAGGAGAAATCCGAGTGAGCAGGTGGAAAGAGAAATGATCTGAGGTGGAAAGAGAGTGTGCGGGTGGAGAGAGAGGTAATTGGAGGGGGAAAGAGAATGGGCGGGGGGAAAGAAAGGTGAGCCAAGGGAAACGCAGAGTGGGGGTGAGGCGAACCCTCTCACACCTGCTGCCACTTCCCCCCCCCCCATTCCAGCCCCCCCCATCCCAGCGCGCCCATCCCAGCGCACCCATCTCAGCCCCGCCCATCCCACTGTGCCCACCTCCCCCCCCCTCCATGCTCGCTCAACCTGAGCAGCCGGTCAGCCCCGGCGGAGGCGGCGGCGGATGCAGCAGGCACGCCCATCCCATCCCATCTATCCGTGGAGATG